AATTATTTCTATAACACGAAACAAATAAGAAATCTGTTGTGTGTGTTTTTTATTACCAGCATACCAAAGAGACAAAACTGCATCATACATTATATGCATAGTGCATATTGATCATGTGTTTAATGTTGATGTTTATGTACTAAAATAGCGAGGAAGGGCGAAGTCCAAAGTGCCGACTCCCTTGTGACATCGGGATGACGATAATAGCAGCAGTGACGTCACTAAAACTATTTATTTACCAATTTGTTTAACGCGTTTCAATGACATTGCGTCGGGGAAGTTTTAGTATGTTTGGAATGCTGAGAGAATGTTTGTCACGGTCAAAGGGACGGAAATATTACTGCACAAATCGTGTTCTTGGGTTTAGGTCTACGATTTAGTAAAGTAGGTATTAATGTTTTCTGTTTTCTAAATATTTATATAAGAGTATAAGACATGATGGTAATAGGAAAAAGTCATTTTTTTATTCCAATTTCTATCAATCTTGGGGGCCTTCAGTACCTTGCACAGCCTCACACGGCGAAAAAAAGCTATGGTTGTTTCACGTTGGCTTTCTGTGAGAGTGTGTTATCACTCTCGTCGAGTGAACCCATTCGTGCTGAAGTTTAACCGATCGACACTTAAAAAAATATAAAATTAATTCAAAATTCCCTTTGTCATAGTCACACATGAAACAGCTAGATCAATTCGGACAATTCCAATGAGTTTCAGTGAAAGTTACTTAGGATGTAGGGAGGGTTGTTGTTCAGTCACGCAAAAACTACTAAATAGATTTCAAGGCCAATTGGTACCAAGATAAATTATAGTCTGGAATAACACATAAGGTAATTTTTATCCCAGAAAAAGGCGACAGAAGCTAGTTACTTATAAAAATGAGAAATGCACTATGCGAAGGCTCAATAAACAAATTTTTATTCATTTGTCTCTTCGTGAAGGGTATAATCTTTATACATTTTATGTCTAGTGCTGTGAGTAGTATAAATAGATAGCGCCCACACATAAGAGATTCCAGGAAAAGTCAATTGTCATTGTAGGCTATTTTTCTACTCTGTGACCTTGTTAGGAAATTCTATGGTTTACGCATTGTTATGTGTTGGATTCGAACTTGGAAGTGAAAGTGTAACTGTATGTGTGTGTGTGTGTGTTATATGGGTAGTTTATGTGGTGTAGACACGTTGTTTTCAGTTCAAGGCTATAGTTGTTTTCAGTGATAACGGACTTCAGCGATGTGTTTCAGGGAATAGTTACTAACCATACGTTGAAGAGCAGTGAAGAGATAAAGCTTTCTGTTTCTATAAAATGTCACTTAATCTTTAATTTCTTTAAACAGTGTGACAACATCACGACTTGTATTCGCTGAAGATGTAGGTAGATCATCTCCAATGTTAGATCCAGCTTGTATGAGTGACGTTTTGAGATTAAATGAACCTTCACAACTTTTGACAATAAATGCAAAAGCCTTAAAGATTTAGCTTTTTGTTATACTTCTTTATATAACACAAGGTTTACCCCTAGCTTCGTCTTGTTCCCGATGAATGATCTATAATTTTTGTTTCGTGCTTATAAGTGTGGGAGAGCCGACCCATTCGTGCCGAAGCATGTTCGGCACGAATGGGTCGGCTCGACCGGGGTGATACCACGGCCTTACAGAAAACCGGCGGTGAAATAACCACAGCGTTGTGTTTCGCCGTGTGAGTGAGGTTACCGGAGGCCCAATCCTTCCCCTCCCCCAATCCCTCCTCAATCCCTAAATCTCCAAATCCCTAATCCCTAAAAGGTCGGCAACGCACTCGTAACTACTCCGTTGCGAGTGTCCATGGGCGGCGCTGATTGCTTACTATCAGGTAATCCGTCTGCTCGTTTGCCGATCGATTATATAAAAAAAACAAATCTCCTAACCATAGAGAATACAAAGAAAAAAAGTAAAATTATCCAATTCGGCGACGTTATCATTATCATCATAGTGGTTATTATTTTTTAAAGTGGTTATTGCACTTGCATACGAATATTACAAAAATACGCAAATTTGGTCCAGGCGTTGTACAAATAGATAGAAGAGAGGGTACATTATAGATTATGAGAGATTTACATTGAAAGAGAAATTTAAAAAAAAAACACATTCTGTTGCATCAACAATTTACTTCGTATTAAAATATCTTTTCACTCTCAGAATACGGTCTGTATCTACATACATGTGAAAATGCGTAGATGCTCCCACTCTCCCAGAGCTGTGGTTACAGCGTCGCTCGCCTTGCCGTCGCCTGCTCGATTAATTGGATTCGGTTTCGTCAGGAACAAATCTCATTTGTGGCCATGCTTAGCCGGCTTACTTACCAGCTTAACGAGCCTGTTTATGTAAGAGATTTCCAACAAATTACCACCTTCATTAGTACTTTATAATCTGGATTTTGAAATGTTTTTAAAGGTGTCTTTCTATTTTATTGTCACGTGTAAAATGAACTAAGTATCTTTTGTAAAATCATAACTTCGCAAAGTTACTTTTTCCGGTGGCACGGAGGTTAAGGAGCCCGCTTCTCATGAGGGCGTGGGTTGTGACTTTTTCCGAGTTATATGTACTTTCTATGATTATTTAGACACCACTGACATATGGTGAAGGTAAACATCGTGAGGAAACCTGGAATTATAATTTCTAATTATAAGTTTGAAATCGCCAACCTGCATTGAGCAAGCGTGGTGATTAATGCTCTAACCTTCTCCATATGAGAAGATGCCTTTGCTTAGTAGTGGTTACTTATAGGCTGATGATGATGATGATGATGAAAGTTACTTTTTCACTTAGGGGGTCTTAATGTCATAGACATTATCCACCGGTGGAACCTTTGGTTGATGTAGAGAAGAATAACAAGCAAAGTTTTCGTTGTTATGGATGGTAAAGAACGATCGACGGTGGTAAAGAACGACGTACCAAGAAAACTTACATATTATGACATTTAAAGCAACTTTTCAGTGTGAAATAAATGGTACTATTTTTTTTGTTCCGCAAATTATTTATGTTAGTTTAAAAAGGTTTCAATAAGTCAATTCTGACAGGATTCAAAGAATTTAACTAGCATTTTGGCGTAAATTTGCGGTTGGTTTTGAGTGTAACCATGTTCTGTGTTTGAGTTACCCTTTGAGGAATTAGTTAATGATCTAAAAATAACACTGAGAGATAGACACATTGTTTTGATTTTGCTTACATTTTTCGTCTAAGTTAGTCGTTTCTCTAATTATTTTATGTATGACTGTAAAAATGGTAAGTTTTTATTACATTTGTAACTGTAATACTTTATAGCAAACATTTTCAAGTATTTATTTATTAAAAAAAACAATAAGTCCTTCACTAGAAGTGGAGATTATCAACTTTTAATAGTGAAGGGGAAAAACTGTAGCCAATAAGGTGACGTGTAATTATTTAACATTTTACAATCAAAATTCTTAGTGATTTTGATAATAAGTTTATTATTTTCTTGTTACCTAGTTCTGCAGTTACATAACGGAAAAAACTTAATTAACAAAGTCGAGACCAAAAGACCAAAATGCCATCAAATAATTGGCCTACATACCTACTAAATAGAGTACTAATACTCTATAAAGATAACATCTCTATCTATACACGCAAAGTACATTAGTCGTGAAGATATAACATTGTATCTATTGAAGCCCATTAGTTCAAGTGTTCTCAATATCGATTCAATTCACAGCTGATGTCTAGAATCGAGTAGAATCGATTTTAAAAAAGATCGTGACAGATATGTATGGTTGCTTCGTCCTTGATATGCGACTTTGTATTGTGTTGTGAGCTATAAATAAATTGCCGATTGAAGTGCAATCAGATAGAACTTGAGAAGACAGTTCTATATTGATTGTAATATGTAGGTACATATAACCGTTGATATTAAGGAAGATCTAAGACGATTATTAAAGGAAAGTAACCAAATATGGAATACCATTTTGAAGTGTTAGAGAGCCATGCTTCGGCACGAATGGGTCGGCTCGACCGGAGTGATACCACGGCCTCACAGAAAACCGGCGTGAAATAACCACAGCGTTGTGTTTCGCCGTGTGAGTGAGGTTACCGGAGGCCCAATCCTTCCCCTCCCCCAATCCCTTCTCAATCCCTAAATCTCCAAATCCTAATCCCTAAAAGGTCGGCAACGCACTCGTAACTCCTCCGTTGCGAGTGTCCATGGGCGGCGCTGATTGCTTACCATCAGGTAATCCGTCTGCTCGTTTGCCGATCGTTTACATAAAAAAAGAAAACAAAAAATGATACCACAATACCACAATATGGAATTTTCATGTATTACAAATGACAGTATTCCATGTATTTTTTCATTCTAGTTCTAGTTCAGGCACCCAATATTATGAAATTGTATATTCTTGATTATGAGTTTTATTTTTAATAAATTTTATTATATATTTATTATTATTCCACAAAACTATTTGGTGACTTTCCTCTACTATCAGGAAAATCATAAGTTTTCTCTGAATAAGTTAAGTTTAAGGCAAACAGGTATCTCTCCTTGCGTGCGTGTATAAATAAGTTCCGAAGTCACTGTTGTCATAGAATCAAGTCCGAAAAAACTGAAGGCACAAATCCTCAAATAATTGTGAAGGATACTTCATACAACTACCTATTAATGGTTCCTAAAACACTGTAGGCACATTTTTTATTTAAACTTTCTGCCTCGCATACCAAAACTTTGGAATGATCTTCCGGTGGCGGTATTTCCGAACCGATACGACGTGAAAACTTTCAAGAAACGAGCGTACACCTTCTAAAACGGCAACGCGCCTTTGACTCGTCTTGTGTTGCAGGAGTCCAAGAGTCCAAGTCACTTACCATCAGGTGATCCATAGGCTCGTTTGCCTACTCCATAAAAGGAGTCTCTATCTAAGAAATACTATACTATACTATAAGTCTCTATCTAACTATATCTAAGGAGCCGTCCCACACCAACAGTGGATCCTCAAAATAATTCTTCTTTCCATTTCAGGTTATGGGTGTTTCCAATGGCTGCTCCTCATGTCCTGCGGGGCTGTATACGCGGTGTGCGCTCTCAGCACCACTACCCTCAGCTTCGTGCTGCCAGCTGCGGAGTATGACTTCCATCTTTCCTCCAGTGACAAGGGCAGGCTTACCGCCACGCCACTTATTGGTAAGTCATTATTATCACCTGGTGAGGTGATTTCACTGATGCTTAAAACTAACACCTTACACTTATATTTCTATCAGTGGTTTTGTTGAACTTACTACCCATATAAAGAAGGCCGACTAATAGAAGAATGCGCTCTGGCTTTTTTGTGTGTTACGACGGCAAACGAGTAGACTGATTACCTGATGGTAAGCAATCAGCGCCACCCGAAACAATAGAGGAGTTACGAATGTGTTGCCGATCTTTTAGGGATTAAGGATTGGAGTAGGCCAAGCATTAGGCCTCTGGTAACCTCACTTGCACGCCGATTTTTTGTAAGCCCGTTTTATCACTCCGGTTGAGCTGACCCATTCGTGCCGAAACATGGCTCTCCCACACAAACTAACTGACTAACTACACTGAGATTAAGAAACATCGAATTTGGTTACATTACTTTGACTGTCGATCTGTAGGTAAATACCATGCTAGCCTGTTTTACTTAAATTTATATATGTTTATTCTTCTTCCAGGTATGTGTGTAGGATCCTACTTCTGGGGCAACTTGGCAGATGCAAGGGGTCGTAAGAAAGCCATCATAGGAGCTCTATTGCTGGATGCGCTAGCTGCCTTCCTCTCCAGCGTGGTGCAGTCATTCCCAGCGTTCTTAGCCTGCAGGTAACTAGATATGATTTAGAAATTTGTCATCATTTGAGTAGTGTATTTTTCGTTGAAAATAATTAGATTTTGATTTTTTTTGTTGGTTCGTTCATAATCACTGATTTTGTTATGCTTGTCATTTAGAATCTAAATTTGTGATTAATGAGGGATGTATAAAAATAAAAATATTATGTTTAGGATTACTCACGTAACTGTTTGACGAGCAATTCGATTACTTTCAAACCACGCTAGGGATTCATATTCGTAATTTGATAGTCGTCATAAGGAAAAACATCAGCCATGCTTGCGGGGCAAGCGCAATGAGCCTCGACCCAGAGCAAGAGAAGGCACGGGAGGTGGTTGTTAGTCAGTAAGAGTCTGACACTCCCTCCTGCCCGACCCGAATTAGTTTTTAACAATGTGGCAGTATCTATCGTGAGACATACATAATTTATTAAAAAATTTAATATAACTTTGCGCACACTGCTCATGAATAAGAGTCCCTTTGTGGCTTGAAACTAGTTGAGCTTTACTCAGTTAGTGCACAAGAGTAAGTCGTTATTTCAATAAATTATGTGGCAGTAGGTTTTTGGCGCAATTCTCGATATTAACAAAAGCAGTTTAAATTAATGTTTTTCACTTTACACCTTGTTTGTACCAATCTTGACGTAACTATTCGTTGTAGACTTGTGACTCTTACAGGTTTTTCTCTGGCTTCGGGATTATCGGAGCCACGGGGCTCGTGTTTCCATACTTCGGGGATTTCCTGTCTCTCAGGCATCGGGATGTCATGCTGTGCAGGCTTGAAGTGTTCTGGACATTCGGAACCATATTGTTGCCAGGTAAGTTAAACACAATTACCTATTGTCACTTGTATTCTAAAGTTAAGTTTGGGAGAGCCATGCTTCGTGTGTGGGCCGGCTCGACCGAAGTGATACCACGGCCTCACAGAAATCCGGTGTGAAGCAGCATTGAAGTCATGTGAGTAAGGTTCACTGAGACTCAATCCCCTTCCCCTTATCCTCAATCCTCAAATCCTCTATCATTAAATCCCTAATAACCAACAAGAGGCCGGCAACGCACTTGTAGTAATTGCATTGATTGAGTGTCCATGAGCGGCTGATTGCTTTAGTTTATCTGACTGCTCGTTTGCCATAAAAAGATTCAGTTAAGTATCTAGTACTCAGACGAAATAAAAGATTTCCAAACTACGTAACAGAACAATAATAGACAAAATTGATGATATCGCATCACGATATGAACAGGAATTCGAATGTCAGCGCCACGCGCGAGGCCAACCGGAATGATGGGTCTGGCACGGGAGCCATGCCATCAGCTGCCAATTGCGATGGCGATCGGTGACATACCAGCATAGTGTTTTAATATACGATTATATCAAAACAAATTTTAGACGATGTGTTAGAAACGTATGTATATCTTTATGTACAAAAATGGATCGCAAAATGTGTTGGTAAGCGTATAACTCAAGAACGCCTGGACCAATTTTGCTAATTCTTTTTTTGTTGTGTTTGTTATTGTCAGGAGAAGGTTCTTATCACATTACAGCACATAAAACATTAGAAAAGCAGAAGGGAAGATTAGGAAAAAGTGACCCTTTGATAGCGAGCTAGTTGGACCCATGCGAAGCGAGGGCGGATAGTTATGCATAAAAAGAAAGCTAGTGGCTCAATAGCAGTTGCATAAGCTGATAAACTTGTTATTTGTATGTTTAAGATGTTTTAATTTAGGATGATTTTTACAAACTCAATACTCTTAGGGAAAGGTAGCTCGTTTCTCGTAGATTTCAGTAAATTTGTGAGAGGAAAGCATTAAAATTACGATTGAATATTCACTGTTGAATACCGTTAAAACTCAAAGCCAATAGCTAGCAGTAAGCCCACGCTATCAGAAGGCATTGTATCTTTAGAAACCTGTATCTTTTCATATTACTGTGTTTACCCAATAAATATTTCGAATTTTGGTAAAATGCAGTGTAAGCTTCATTATTTATTATTGAGGGATTTATATCACTTTAATTGTATCTCTTCCAGGTATCGCATTCCTCATCATCCCAGACCCTCGGTTCAACCTGACGGCTTTAGGAGCAGACTTCCAGTACACCTCGTGGAGGGTGTTTGTGGCAGCCTGTGGTATACCCAGCCTGCTGGTGGTGCTGCTTCTCATTCCCTTCCCCGAGAGCCCCAGATACCTGTTGTATGCCAATAGAGCTGAACAGGCTCTGCAAGTGCTGCAGAGGATCTTTGTTGTCAACACCAAGCTCAGTGAGAAGGATTTCCCTGTAAGTGTGATATTATTTTTAATTTATGACTTAAATAATGTAGTGGAATGGTGTTGATTTTCTTTAACAACATTACAATTATATGATTGACTAGTTATATAGATCAATCCATTTGACTAGTTCGGACCAAACTAAGTGTACGTTGATAAAAAGTCTATGTGTTATTTCAGAGAACACCTATGAACAAACCAAATCGGTCCAGCCGTTTTAGTGTATAAGAATAACAAACAAACATACATTCTCACAAAGATAAACTTTCACATTTATAATATTAGTGGGGCGTAACATACCAAGTAACAATTGAATTCCATTAGTGTCTTAAAATAAACCTTTTATAATAAACTAATACTTGACTTTCCAGGTAGAATCAATGATAAGTGCCTATGAAGGTGAAGAAGAGGAAGTGGTATCAGCGGACAATAATGGAAATGAGACCAAAGCACCACTGACCTGGGGCCAGAGGTGGGACGCCTTCTGGGTGAGGAAGAAGATGTTGGTGACGCCGCCCTATATTGGCCTGCTCATCCTTTGCTGCTTCGTCGATTTTGGCCTTATGTTCAGGTATTTTTATAACTGTTTACATCGTACATGTTTGAATATATTAGTGTAAATTGAAACTCATCATCGATGGATTATAGAAAATACTTATTTCTACATGTCTTGTTTCTGGCTATGATGATGATGTGCGTTTATTAATTTCCTTCAATTCTAATAAACTACGATCTATGACTGATCTTTCTTAAATAAATTCATAATTATCATCATCAGCTTATTTTCGCTCCTCATTATTCCTACAAATGAAAATGTTCCAAATTTGTTGAAAATTTTCCGAACACTTTTCATATCAATGGTATGAAATATTGTTCTTGTTTTTTATAAATGGTATATTAAGCTAATGGAAACAGCTAAATAACTCTTCATCATCCAAGGCTGTTTGAGCAGCAAGGACGATAATAGATATTTCTTAAGCACGAAAGATCATCTCACCAAGGAGTGGGATTACCAAAATTCAACAATACATATATTTTTTATTTCAGTTACTACACACTGATGATGTGGTTCCCGGACCTATTCGAGAGGTTCAGCCAGTTCTCATCACTATACCCTGACGTATCTGCTGGCGTCTGTGAGGTCTCATTAGCACTTGCCAACGATACTGCTGAGTTGACTGTGAGTTTCAGTTTTTCTCTATAGTTCTTTCTAAATCTCTCCTTGCCATACAGTTAGGTTTGTCGTCGATTTGAATTCCTATATTTGTATTCTCTCTTATCTTCAATGACTCATCAATGGGATCTTTAAAAGAGGATGTTTCATTCTGGTTTTAAATTGGTGTGTTAGATGACATTACGTCTATTACCAAACAATCAATAGATAATCGCTCCAAACGCAGATGTTATAATAAAAAAATAGTTACAGAATCGTGGATAAATGTGTCAATGTTTAATTTGATTTTAATACTATATATTACTATAAATTTCTTATCTTCTTCCAGGGCAAGTTGCAGACGTTAGATGACAAAGTATACATCCACACACTGGTGGTAGCTTTAAGCTGTGTGCCCACTGCGCTGTGGGTGGGTCTCACTATTAATATTGTGGGCAAGAAGCTCATGTTGGGTAAGTGTCCTTATCCTAACTATTCAAAATTTTTTTTTTGGGTTGGAGTGGAATTATCATCAAATGATTTTATGTACTGTAGAAAAACTAGTCTTTCCCACTAAGTGTCCTTTTAGAATACAATGAGCAACAATTTAGCTTGCAGTGATGTTTTGCATTGGATAATGGAATATGATGTGGCAATCTAAAAAATGATGCCACGAAGGTTCTTGAAAAAAATTGGGGTCCATGAAATTGTTACCCACTTTCAAATGTGCGAGTTTATGTTGAGAAAGTGTAAATACTTTTTAATCTAACTTATCCATTACTTTGATTTTTTCTTGATAGTTATTGATTTAAGCTCCAATTGGCTTATTCAAAGTACATTTTGCTGCTATTAACAGATCTGTTTATGCCTTCTGCATAAGGGGTACACCTTTAGCTGATGCCTTTATTATTGTATCGTTAATCTTTATCTCTTTATAAATGTTACAGATGTCTCAAGATTTCTGAAAATCATCGATAAGTCACGTGGTCAATGTATAAATCCCGATAATCCCGAGTATTTGTTATGTTTCTAAAGGATAATGATCTTGACCATAGGGGCTGATTCTGTTACATTTTGTTGTATAGTATATTTTTGTCTATCTTTTCCAGTAATGATGTTGATCAGCTCCGGGCTGGCAGCTTTGGGTCTGAACCTGGTACGATCTTCACTGGAGAACCTGATCCTCTCGTGTGTATTCGAAGCCATCGTCAGCTGTACAGAAGCTGTGCTGTTCTGTGTCATCTGTGAGATATTTCCTACTAAAGTTGCGTGAGTATTGTCTTCGTTTTCAACTTTTATGTTTTATGTTGTATTTGCTTCAAGAAATATTTTACTAGCCAAATGGTCAGAATGTTCATTTTTCTGTAATATTCTTTTGACCTGTTCAATTGTTATCCTCTTTTATTTAAACTACCTTTAGTCACTATTGGCGAATATCACCAATCGAGGAAGCTTTTTAACATAAATCCTTTGTGTAAACTGATGATAGTATAACATGATATTGCCATGAACTTAAAAAGGGAAGCACCTCTGAGTTTGTTTCGGCATTTCTTCTCAGAGTAGTTAGATAGAAAATGTCGGCTTCATCTTTAATTATTTGGTGCCGTTTTATGGCCTATTTGCAAAAATAAATTCATTGTTTCCTGATGCTACAAAAATGATGAAGAATTTAAAACTTTTTTATAGATTTCTGTGGCCATAACTTTTTTATGTATAATATTAAATTATTCTTTATCATCTCTTCCAGTGCCACGGCCATGGCGGTGACGGTGATGTGTGGGCGGATAGGTGCCATAGTGGGCAACGTCATCTTCGGCGCCCTAGTGGACGAGTACTGCATAGTGCCTATATATATGTTCGGAACGTTGCTTATAAGTGAGTATAAATGGTCCTTTGGTGTAAGTAGTCCTTTGGGGCGCGACAATTATTTCTGTAGCAAAATGTTTTGACATATTGTCTTAAATGGATTTTGAGGAGGAATAACTTCGTGTCGAGATGTCTAGAATTATATTTTATACACATAAATATAGCACTAACTTTGTTTATATTGATGGTCTCGAGTTCAAATATTATTATTTTACCTATCATTACACCGACTTAAAATTATACTTACCTACTGAGAACATTTGGCATAAAAATTCTTTATTCAAAATTGTGACTGTTTTCTCAGCCGTGTTTAGTAATTTTCCAGAAATGAGGTTACTTATATGTTTATAGAAATCGAATAGATAGACTCTGTTTTTGGTTAATCATTTAATTACAAAATCTCAAATCCTTCATACAAACACGAAACCCGGAACAAGTATTCTAAAAATATTATTAGTTCTGTACGGAAATCGAACACCGCTCAGACTATAATTGCCCAGTATGTGTGCCAATAGTTACACGGTATTTGATTAATGTTAGATGTATGTTTTGTAACGATATTTATGACCGTCTTTTTGGTAGGTAGAGTAGTTCCTATATAGTATACTTTTGAGCGGGATTTAATTAGGGCAGAAAATTCATTGTCAAAAATTGTGTTTATCTTTCGACTGTGTGTGCTTATAATAGATTCAAAACAATTTGTGTAAAATATAACCTTATACGCTCTGGGAATAATAGGTAAATGTACTTTTTTATGTAATTAGTCGGTAAACGAGCAGACGAATTACCTGATGGTAAGCAATCCGCGCTGCCCTTGGATACCTGCAATAGGTACCAAAGGAGTTACAAGTGCATTGCCGGCCTCTTGGGGATAAGGGTTTGGGATTGGAAGGAAGGATTGGAAAGGGGATGGGGAGAGAAAGGGGGCACTGTAATATTTTCTTATAAAAAAGCTAGATTCTTTTCTTGATTCGAGCGTACTTAGATGTCCCAATAATGGACATTTTGTGGCCAATAGTTATAATTATAATTGCTGTTTGTCTGTATGTTATAGCGAGCGGGTTACTGTGCATCATCCTACCAAAGAGCACGCGTCCGGAGCGACCGACCACGTGAGGCGTAGTCATACTGTTATATTTTTATATCTATTAAATAATTATAATCACAAACTTTAGTGCTTTTTTTTTAACTTAAACCTACCTTCTGACCATTCTCAAAATCATGGAGATTCGTGCTTCGGTACGAATGGGCCGGCTAGACCGAAATTATACTACAGTCCCACAAAAAGTCGCGACAGCAAGCTATGGAAAGGGCAGTGCTCGGAGTCTCTCCTTTCGAATTCAATCCTTACTGAAAACTCTAAACAGTTAGCAAACTGGAGTGGCAGTGGTCAGGTCGCATTTGTTGTAGAACCCATGGCCGCTCTGGTGTGAAGACCATGTCTACGCAAACGTAGTGGAGCCTTCATGTCTAGCAGTAGTGAAGTAAAGCGGGATAGTGAAGATTTAAAAAAATATTCATGGAATAATTACAATTTATGTTGAAGTTGAATAAAAGATTTGAGACATTTATGAAAAATTTTACGAAATTGTATAGTTACGTCGGATCTAGAGATATTCGAAATATTGCATACTGAAAACACAGGTAAAACTTAGTACTGAGTAAGTGTCATTTGTCGATAGGTTAACTATTGCTTTTAGCAGAACCAAGGGGGTATCTCGTCATCATTGAACTGCCAAAACCACATCTTGATGTAGCTATCCGACAGACAACAATTTTATATAATGCAACCATTCCATGATATTATACTCAAGCAAACACACAACTCACAAACTCGCCTTGCCCGAGTCACATGTACTTTCTTTAGACACCACTGACATCCGGTGATGGAAAAATCGTAAGAAAACCTAGAGAAATTTTAAATTATAAGTCCAATCGCCAATCGGCGTTGCTTAAATCTTCTCCGTGAGAAGTGGCCTTTGCTCAGCAGTGGGCGCTTATAGGCTGATAATGTGTATTGTTATTTCACGAACTGAATAAATTTATGAAACGGTTACGACACAATATATTATGCGTGACTTATATACACTATGCATTGTTTTTTGACTCTTTAAGCTTAGAAAATCGCCATTAGGAAATATTGCACTATTACTACTATTTACTACTATTCATTACTTGATCGTCCACGAACCCCTATAAAAATACAAAACTCTTCTAGAAAAGAAGTGTAAAAAAGTAATCTTGAAGAATATATTATTTGTATTTAAATAATAAGCTCACATGTGTATACGTATCTGTTTCGTATGTTTCATATAAAATTAAGTCTGTTTGCATGCTTGTTGCACCAACCATTGGCTCATCTCTGCATCACCCAAGACTCAGAAAGAAAGTGCATAATAAATAAAAAATACTAATTTTAGTTGTCTGTGCAAACAGTAATAAATTAGCTTTATATGGTAGCATTAATTAATTCAGTTAGTTGTTACATCTCGTGACTTGATAGCAAACAGACGTTTACAATCGAGATTGTAATCGTGTAAGGTAAGGAGCGGATACACTAATGGGAAATAGAAACAGTTTATATCTTAAAACAATTAGTAAAAATTTGACTGCAAGGTTCGTGCGGTGGCTGGGCAACTGGAAACAACTTATTGTGTGATCCACAAATTGTTGTTCCGGGTCTGAGTGGCTTGTTTATGTGAAATTGTATGTTTGTAACCGCACCTACGACACAGGAGAAAATTCTTGCGTGGGGCAACGCTTTAAAATAAAATCTCAATGAAATATGCTAGAAAAATACAAATATTAAATCATAAAATCAATGAAATAAAGTGTAACTTTAAAATATATTGCCTTAAAAAGACAGTGTGGGAGAGCCATAATTTGGCACGAATGGGTCGGCTCGACCGGAATGATACCACGGCCGCCCAGGAAACCGGCGTGAAACAACTACAGCGTTGTGTTTTGCCGTGTGAGTGAGGTTACCGGACGCCCTATCTTCTCCCATCCCCAATCCTGTCCAGGTCCAATCTCGTCTCCTAAGTGACAGTGTGCCCGGACATGTTAAGCAAAGACTGCAAGTACCTACAACTGCGTAATATTTGTAAGCAATATAATTAATTATATACATCATTAATATCTTTATGAGTCTTTATTTGCTTAACTGCTGGAGATAGGTGATGTTTGCAATGCTAAAATAACAATTATTGATATAACGTCTGGGATTATTTCGGGTAATACGATCGGCTGCTTTGTATTTTTTTTATGTGATAACCTGATGGTTAGCACTCAGTGCCACCCAGGGGCACCTTTCTTTTATGTGTCAGGAGAAAATCGCCAAATTAATACCCAGGTTAAGGTGAGAGAAAGTGTCAGACTCTTACTGACTAAAAACGCCCCCGTTCCTTCTCCTGCTTTAGGCCAAGGCCACAGTGCCTTATTGCGGTTACCCGCTACCCCGGCTGAACATTAGCTCTGGACACCTACCACAATATATCATTATAGAAGTTGCAAAGGCATATCCGGCCTTTTAGCGATAAAGAGTTTTCAATAACCTCACACATATTATGGCGAAACACAACGCTCTAGTTGTTTCTCGCAAGTTTTCTGTAAGGCCGTGGTATCAATCCAAAACACTTTTCATGTGCTAGCTAGGGCCAAGCCGAATTTAAATAAAGATCACAATTTATGCATAATCTAGGTAAGATTAAGCCTTTTAAAAAAACTACGATTTTCATGTCGTCGGGTTGAGTAGGGAACTTAGCTGACGCTCTATGTAAATCAATGATCTACGACTACTGTGAAAATATGAAAGAAAGGTATCACTGGCCGCTTAAGTACTAGTGATTTGTTTTTTTTTTGAGAAAGGAATGTCATCATATCTGTTTTGCCGCTGTGGGTGGCGCTAGAGGGAGTGTCAAATGCTTATTGACTAAATACTACCTTGTTCCTAGTTCTGATCCACGCCGGGCAGCGGTATATCATTAGTGTTGCACCCGTAGTCCCAGCTGAACATCCATCTAAAGAAAAATCCATCTGTGATGGTCTAATAGATCTTTAAGGCGCTTGGAATGCGCGTGCGCGTGCAATGTGAAATTAGCCTTTGGCTCTGAAAAGTGCCTATTCGTGATAAGTTACTCTTGCGACATGCATAATGATTAATAGTGAACCGTTTCAATAGTAGATTAACCAATAAGGCTTGTTGAAGGGTATTTGATAACTGGCCTATTTGGAAATTTAACAACGGCCTTCGATATTTTAATCTTAACTACAAAAAGGGAACCTAAATATGTCTTTTTCCTCTAGCAAACCACAGATAAATCGGTTGTTAACTACATGTTTGGTAAGTGTTGACTAGTAAAAGTAAAGTATCTACATTACCGACTTTATGAAACATGATTATAATGAAATAACTATAGTTTTTTGTGTGGTTAATCATTTCTTCTCCCGCGCTGGGAGAGAGCGTTTCGGACTCTTACTGATAAAAAATCATCCCGTTCTGTTTCCTTCTCCGAGCTGGAAAAGTTACTTAATGATTACATCCCTCAAAACAAAAAAAAACCTAAAATTTTCTCTCTCTTGCCCTACGGAAGAGGGAGTATCAGACGGTTCCTAATTAAAATCATCCCGTTTTTTCTCCTGCTTCAAGCCTTCCCCAGGGCGGGAGAACTTATTTCATTATTATCATTACATCCCTGAAAAAAACCTGAACCCTACCTATTGTATATAGTGTAAAAATTATTTATTCTAATAGATAAAGGTTTTTCTCAAACGTAAAAGAGTACGCTTCCAAAACTGATAATGTTAAAACTAGTTTCGTCACTTTTTTCAATTAATAATTAAATTCTTTTTAAATTTTATTTGAAGTTTTTATCTATTTAAGCCTGAAGTATGATAGGTAATTTCGTTAATACATTATTTAACCAGGTTGCTCTCTAACTATGCATGTATATTAAGTAAAAATAGACTGTCTACGCACGTAGATACTTCTAATTATTGTAAATAATTATATTAACTTAAGAATCTAGTTTTATTGTATGGTAAATACTAAATACATAGTATATTTTCCATGAATCCGTCTCGACATTGGCTCAGAGTTATCTCGTCCTAGAGTATGTCATTTGTTTTTACCGAATTAAGAGTTTGGCAGTTTCTTGTTTTTAAGGAAATTTTTATTAGGCTTCATGATTAATTTATGACAACAAACAGAGTTGGGGACAACCTTTAGTTCATCAGGTGGAATGATGGCATCCAACTTCGCTGGCAGAAGCAAAAAACTGACAATGGAAATTAGGATGTTATTGGAGAAGTCTTCTCTGCCAACGTAAGCAGGCTATGATAATGATAAACCTAGCCAATGAATTTGGTTGTAGCCCCATCAGACCACGGCCTCGGCAACTTCTATAATACTTTTTTATGTGATAGGATGGCAAACGAGCATACCTGTTACCTGATGGTAAGCTATCAGCGCCAATAAAATGGACACAAAACAACAACGGAGGAGTTACGAGTACGTTGCCGACCTTTTGGGGATTAGGGTTTGATTCCGGTCGAGCCGATCTATCAGTGTCAAAGCATGGCTCTCCTATACATATCTAAAATAATAAATACATATATTGTAACAAGGTATGTTACACCATAAACGATTGCTTTGGTAACGACGCAAAGATACATACTACTCTGTTAAGAAAGTACCGGGAAAAAGTCAATAATACACAAAATGTTTGTTATTCATCTAAATTTATTTTATCACCTTCAAAGTATGCTCCTTCAGAAACGATACACTTACGCCAACGAATAATCCAATCATCGAAACTTTTTTTAAACGCTGTTTCCGGAATTGAGTTCAGTGCTCGCCGCGAATTCTCCTTTATGTCTTCTAACGATTGAAAACGGGTGCCACGAAGGGGTAATTTGAGTGTGGGAAAAAGAAAGAAGTCGGCTGGAGCCATATCTGGTGAATATGGTGGCTGCTCGATGGTGTTTGTTGAGTGTTTGGACAAAAAATCGTTTACAATGATGGCCTTGTGCGAAGGCGCATTATCGTGATGCAAAATCCAAGAATTTTCTTTCCACATTTCTGGCCTTTTTCGTCGAATTTGTTCTCTTAAACGCCGCATAACGCTCAAATAATATTCTTTATTTACCGTTTGACCTTCGGGCAAGAATTCTGAGTGCACAACACCGCGATAGTCAAAGAAAACAGTCAACATGACTTTGACTTTTGATCGACTTTGACGTGGTTTTTTCGGTTTTGGTTCAGTTGGAAGGCGCCATTCCGAAGCTTGTTGACTAGTTTGCATGTCAAACTCGTAAACCCACGTCTTGTCACCAGTAACAATGCGTTTCATGAATGTTGGGTCGGTATTGACTCGTTCTAGCATGTCCTCAGCGACTTTCATGCGATTTAGTTTTTGAAGAAAATTCAGGTCTTTTGGGACTAGCCGAGCGGCAACACGTTTATACCCAAATTATTTGTTAAAATGGTACGGATCGACTCGTGAGATACAGAAAGTTCGGCGGCCATCTCTCTCAAACTTGAATGAAGATTTTCAGTCACTATTTCCTTCACTTTTGCGATGTTAACTTCAGTTGCAGACGTTGATGGCCTACCAGAACGAGGCAAATCTTCCATCACATCTCGACCGCTTTTGAACGCTTTGTACCACTCATAAGCACGTGTTTTTGATAAAGTCGATTCACCGTAAGCCTTCTGTAACATTTTGAGTGCCTCCGAACACGAAATTTCATTGGCGATGCAAAATTTAAGACAAACTCTTTGTTCGATGTTTTTGTCCATTATGAAATTCGCAATACACACTAGATATTATAAAACTAAAAACAGCACTGTTTTTAATATAAATAACAGATGCAACTCAAATTCCGCGCCAAAATGGAAAACAGTTAGGCCAATCTAACAACAACAAAAAAAATTAAAATTCGAATTTGGAACCATAAAAAAAACATTCATTCCCGATACTTTGTTCACTGAATGTATATAAATCTTGAAACTGAAAAATGTTTTCAGTATTCACTTCACTTTACTTTACTTTCCTGATTGTGGTCAGTAAGAAATATTTGTAAATTATCGTTCATCTTCCCAACAGAACAATGTTATTGACGATATCTGTTTCATTTTACTTATAATAACATACATTGTGACCCACACATACACACACTATTCTACGAAGGTTTATTGTAAGGTCATTAGTTAATTTTATCATCTTTTAAGAACTTGTTAATGTACTGAACTATATTCCTTTCAGAATAACATCATAAGATATTTAAGAAAAACCTTTTTACTGCTTGTTTGAGCGATTTTAACCTTTCTTACGTTTGTAAAATGACGAACGAAAGGTGCAGTAGTTAGTTGGTTTTGTAACAACTTGTACCTATATTTTTAATGCCACCATTATGCCTACGGAATAAAACTTAAAATCGGTTGTTAACACTGTAAGAATGGTTTCTCTAAATGTCTAATCTTAACGCGAATAGAGGCTGTACAGGAAGACAGGAAAATGACTGGTGTAATATAGAGTAAAAAAAACATGTCACAGGAATGCCTGTGACATGTTTTCAAAATATGTGGATTTTATGATATTTTTTTCTCACTTTCTTTGAGAACAGTGAGCCGCGTCGTCTTCACGCGGATGCAGTGCTGCATGCATACATATTTAAACTTGCCTCATCAATGACTATATCTATTTAAAAAAAACCGCATCACATTTCGTTGCGTAGCTTTAAAGATTTAAGCATATTTACATAGGGATATAGGGACAGGGAAAGCGATTTTGTTATTTAATAATAAACAAAACGAAACAATTATCGAAGCCATAGCCAAAAACTCTTTCAATGGATAACCAAAATATTTCCAGGATGTTTCAAGCCTGACGCTGTGCGGTTTATCAGAGATTCATTTTTTTTTATGTAATAGATCGGCAAACGAGCTGACGGATTACCTCATGGTAAGTAATCAGCGCCGCCCATGGACGCCCACAACGGAGGCGTTACGAGTGCGTTGCCGACCGTTTAGAAGATTAGGGATTTGGAGATTTAAGGAATGAGGAGGGATTGGGGGTGCGGAAGGATTGGGCCTCCGGTAACCTCGCTCACACGGCGAAACACAACGCTGTGGTTGTTTCAGGTTTTCTGTGAGGCCGTGGTATCACTCCGGTCGAGCCGACCCATTCGTGCCGAAGCATGGCTCTCCCACACTTAAAAATTTCCTCAGATCCTCTATGACTTCTCATCCAAAATAACCCTTAACGTAACTTGAGTACTACATATTCTTAAGTAACTAAATACTCATTGACTCATGATGTTTAATTAATAGCAAAGATAAGGTAATCATAGAAAATGTTCTGGGAGCCAGTACATTGAGAAGATACAATTAATGCATTCGTCGTGTACATAGAAGTTTATGTACATAATGTTGGCATAGGTCATACTGCTTAGGTACATAGGCTTAACAACAGATTTAAGTACTTACTGACTTATGACTTACTATACTTATATACTTCATTTTTTATGTGATAGTAGGTACAGTAAAACAATTTAGGTATGGGAGCGCCATGTTTCGGAACGAATGGGTCGACTCGACCTGAGTGATACCAAGGCCCTACGGAAAACGGGCGTGAAACAACTACAGTGTTGTGTTTCACCGTGTGGTTGAGAAAAACAAATTTTGTGGTTGATGTAGTGCAGTTGCGAGTTTGATTTTTACAGGTGACAATTCATTGTGCGATCCAAAAAGTCAATCCACTATAAAGGAATATGCGATCCAAGAATTCAATCTATACTAATATTATAAAAAGGTAAAGTTTGTTTGTAAGTTTGTATGTGATCGGATTGCCAACATTCTTTCACTGATGACTGAGCTACAATGTTCCTGAGTGCTGTAGGCTATAAAACATCACGCTACAATCAAATGGAGCAAAACAGCGGGTAAAATCGCGTGAGAGTAACTAGTCTACAATAAAGGAATGCGGGCAGCCCAATTAATGGCGGTAAATGAAAGCTAAGGATTGCCAAAAACTACATCTAACGACAGAGAACTGTCTTCAATGACTTTCAGAGAAACAAACTAATAAAAATAGACAAAAATATAAACAAACAACTCACTAAAAACGTGTTAGTACATTTTGAAGTTCAGTACAGTGTAGTGACTCATGAATTTCTGAGCGGTCATTAGCACATGACCTACCGCAACGATCTAGATACGATTTGTGTATGTTTCCTTCATCTTTGATAACTGTTTCATAAGAACAATTTACTAATTGTTCGATAGTATTATCATTATATTTACAATGTAGGTACTTATGTTTTTCAAATCATAGGTCGGCAAACGAGCAGTCTGATTACCTGATGGTAAGCAATCGGGACCGCTCATGGACACTGGTTATAACAAAGGAGTTACTTTTCTGGGTTGTTAGGGATAGGGGATTTGAGAGTGACGTGTCTGTGAAGTGACTCAAATGACGAAACACAATGCAAATATTGCTTAGCGCCGGGTTTCTGTTAGGACGGCGTATTCTTCCGCTCGAACCGGTCCATACGAGCTGAAGAATGGCTCCAACACACTTAAAAATGTTGCTTTTGAACGGCAATGAGAATGGATCAGGAACAACCTCAGGTTTAGGTTCAGAGTCAGATTCAGGTGTATGTTAGACCTCACTAAAGCTAGCTTTTTGGTCTACATCAGTCACTACAAGGGTACTCTGCTAGTCCAACGCCACCACTCGTATATTACACCTACTAGGTAAGTAAACCTCATATGTGATTATTTATATATATTTTTCTATAAATAATACTTGTAACGTTATTTGCACAAAACTTTACCTACAAAAATAATACAAGTATTATTTTTAGAGTAATTTCGCCAATCATAATTCAAACCTAATTTTCTATTTCTTCCAATCAAATAAATATTTTGATAGACTGAACTCGCCATCTCAAATGATAACCGTAAAAATTACAGGTTCTCGTAAGATGAATGACACATAATCGAAGTGCAAATATCTTTAAAATATCTTTTATTTATTTGTCAAGGAGCGATATGAGTATACTTATATAAAAAGTAAGCTTTATAATTATTACAGCACAAGTAACTAAACTCTTAAAAAGAATTGAACTAAATAAACACAATAGTCTCTCAGAACTGCAGTCTAAGCCTGAGCGTCGTGCAAGGAAGACGTATCCAAAAATGTGCTAAATAAAATAAAATTTTAACAAAAAATAATTATTTTTATAACCTAAACCAATTATGTTGTGTAAAAAAACAGTTCTATTTAACTATCCGTGATTTTGTTCCTTAAAAATTATCAATTTTAATAATTATTCATTTTAAATGGATTCTGTGATTTATTAATTTAAGTAGAGTCAGTGAATTTTTTTTAGGATAGAAAATGTTTTGAAATTATTTTGTGATAAGTAACAGGTAAATATATTTTTATATTTATTTAATTAAACTTCTTTTATGGTGCAGTTTCTATGTGGAGAAGAAACAGAAACAACCCAGCTACCATTTAATACAAAGACAATGAAAGAATTAAAATGCGGGTGGGGTGGGGTACTTCTGGAAAATAGGCTTATATGTATATAGGTAAGAATTAAAGTACCATGCTTCGGCATGAATGGCCTCGCTCGACCTGAGTGATTCCACGGCCTCACAGAAAACTGGTTGTTTGAGTGAGGTTACTGGGGAATAAAACCTTCCTCCATCTCTTATGTTTCGCCAATTTCTAAATCCCTAACCCCCAAATAACCGGCAGCGGACGTGCAACTCCTTTGGTGTTGTGAGTATCTACAGTTATCATCGACTGCCTTATATCAAATCATCAGCATCAGCTCGTTTATATCCAAAAGTTATAAACAATATTTTTAGCTTTAAAATAATCCTTTTGTTCGTTTGATCTTTACATAAAAAAAGTCTATTCTCAAATATATGTAACATTAAAAACATTAGAAATGATTTAATTATTATTGTAATAAATAATAGATACAAGGCACCAAACACCGGACTCCTTAATTTATCAACAGGTTTAATTAACTTTGTAATTAATGTGTACCTGTGTTATTGATAAGTTATGTAATTACCATCATTGTAGTATAAACTAAGCAATATAGTAAATGTGTTATAAATTGCTTGATTAACTTTAATGTTACAAATATTATAAAATTCAAATTCAAATTAATTTATTGTTAAAAAATATCACTAATATTAAAAACATGAGTAAATTGCTGTAAACCCTCAAGGAGTTCTTTGGACTGTCTTTCGGCTTCATCATCGGGTCCCTTTTCTTTCGGATCTTTGATCCCATCATCAGATCCTGACATGGTGACAGTTGGACCACGTTGAATGTTCAAATTTGAGTAATTAAAATCGGTACAAGAACGAAAAACAAGTAAAAAAATAAAATAAAATTGAGAATCGTCCTTGTTTTGGAAGTCGATAAGTTTATACAAGAACGATACATATTAAGACATTTTTATCAAAAATATTTTACGAAAGTAACTAGGTACTGGGTAATTTTTTGTAATTACATTGGCGAGCGAAATTTTGATTTTTAAGAAGTATCCATAATATCTCTGTTATTTTTCAAAATTACAAACGATAACATAGTGAAATATTTGAACTATCTGTTATAGATAAGATTTAAAAAACCACAGGACGTCTTGGGATTGCAAATGATGATTGGTTGAAGTTTTTTTTAAATTTGAGTCACTGATTAAGTGTTTTTTGGACTTAAAAATATTTTATCTATAATGAGACGTTTTAGCCTTATTGAGCTTTTAATGGAAGTTGTTTATCAGTAAGACAAGTGATCAATTCTTATCAATGTTAGGATACGTTTTAAATGTAAAACAAATGATATGAAAAATATTTAGTTTTTATTCCGCGACAAAAATCCAGGCTTGTTTCAGGATGCAATCCCACTCCTATGCAATCATGCATATGCACATGCAGCAAAGGTGACACGCTTGCACACGTGCAAAAAACGAAAAAACATGCCACGCAATCAAATCCTGAAGAGATGTTGAATCGACAAGCGCTCGGCGAGTCAACATCTCCTGTTCCGACCCATGGCTCTCCCCCACTTATTGGGAACTAGCTTCTCTCGCGTGGTTTTACCTGCTGCTCGGCTCCATTTGATCGTAGCGTGGTGTTTTATAGCCCATAGCACTCAGGAACATTGTAGCTATCTATCAGTGAAAGAATTTTGGCAATCCGACCAGCGAATCCAAAGATTACCCCCTACATACAAACATACAATGTTACAAAGTTACAAATTTTACCTCTTTATAATATTAGTATATATAAAGGGAGTTTCAGGCTTTCAGTAACGCGAACGTCATTCAAACTTTTCTGTCAGACTGTGGTGTTTTTCCCTCATTTAAACTACCTTAGACCGAAACTCGTGGGTAGATAATAAAGAAGTTTTTTTTTCGGAATTTATTGAAATCTAAATATCAAAATCTCATTGTTATAGTGATAGCACTAAATAAGTGTTCATTGTTTTCATCTTTCTTGAAAGTTAACATATTCTATCTTTTGGTAATGGAGTTGTTAAAATGATAACAAGGCTCTGGATATATAATCAACACTGAATAATTTACACATTAATATTGACTTGATGAATATTAATTCCAGTAGCTCCATATTAATTTTACCTAACGTTCTATTATTAATATAAAATTCAGACATATTGTTCTAAACGCCTACCTGTTATGCATTTTAGACCCAAAAAGTGAACAAAGTGATATTAATTATTTTGATAATTAATGTTCTACCAACAATGTTTGGACCAAACATGTAAATTTGATATTTGAGAAAAGGAATATTTTTGATTGTAAGTCTGGACCTAATGTCAAGTAACATGTCCATATGCAAATAATATTGACAGTGGTTAGATGCGAAAAGCTAATAACCGATTTCAGTAGTGTTGGAAAGGACATAGATCCAGAAGATGAAAAATGTCCTGATGATGATAATGACAAAAAAATTATATATTTAAATAATAATTAAGTAAGTGTGGGAGAGCCATGCGTCGGCATGAATGGGTCAGCTCGACCAAAGTGATACCACAGCCTCACAGAATACCGGCGTGAAACAACCACAGCGTTGTGTTTCGCCGTGTGAGTGAGGTTACCGGAGTCCCAATCCCTCCTCAATCCCTAAATCTCCAAATCCCTAATCCCTAAAAGGTCGGCAACGCATTCGTAACTCCTACGTTGCGGGTGTCCAAGGGCAGATTGCTTACCATCAGGTAATCCGTCTGCTCGTCTGCCGACCTATAACATAAAAAAAAATTATAAACTTAATTAATGTTTTCAGGGTGTGAACAAGTTTGAAGATGACTTCAAAATCTGGTACAAAGCTGAGTGGATGTGGAGACGTAATTAGCAACAGCGTAGTAAACATAACAAGCAACAATGAGGATAGAATATACACTTATGCTGAAGCCATTAACCTCGCGGGTGAGTGCTATGGTTTCAATTCATTGAGAAGTAAATAATCTATGGAGATAAATGATAATGATCCGGTCGCTTAGCAACCGGCTACAGCGTAACTTATAAGGGATCGGTTCCCGCACGATACAACTCTCTATGTGTGACCCAAAAAATTACTTCTTATGCATTATTACTATATACATCTATCTTTTTGATATAATGAGATTGAATGTCAAAAGTCAAATACGCATAGAAATATAAATTGTCTATTTATTTAAACAACATATGAGTAGTACTAACCTAACCTTCTGCTTTCCCTTGTCCAGGAAATGGGTGGTATAGTGTGGGCCTTCTGGCGACCCTAAGTGTCTGCACGCTGGCCATGGGTGTAGACATGTTTGGCTTCTCTGTGGTCGTCAGCGGCTGCACCTGTGACTTCGGTCTGGATATCAGCCAGACCAGCGTGTTGCTGTCCATGCCTTTTGTTGGTGAGTTTTTAGATGTATTCTCTTCTAGGTCATGGTGATAGAGCTGAGGATGGTAGTGGATCTTGCTTTGTAATATCATACTTATTAGGATGTATGTTGAATAGCTTGAATTTGTCAAAATGTCTCCAAGCGAACGCCGGCGTTCGTGCTCCTGCTGTTCTTCTATTGTGTTTTGAATGACCATGTTTGAATTTCGACAAACAAATTACATGATATCTGTGTGTTTGAAAATTTCTGTCTTTGAAATAGAGTAACAGATAGTAAAATAGTACTACTCTAATGTCTTATCTAAACAACTACTAAAAAAGGCATAGGAATTAAGAATTTAAAACGTTACAAATAAGAAAATACAAAAACGATCACAATCACATAATAAAAAAGACGTCAGAAAGAATTGCCTGTTGCGTTGTTTATTGATTTCATTTAACAGATTTTGACGTTTCAAAAGTACCTACTTATGGTTTAGTTGGAATAAATGATTTTGACTTTGACTTTGACTTTGACTTTGACAGATAGAAAATAATAATTTTCTTTTTACCTACGTCTTTAAAGAAATCTAACAATTTATTTTTAACATGTTAGATTACCTAAATAAACCAACAACAACCAACCAAAGCCAACCTAGATCTAATTATACAATAACGTTAAATTCCTGTCTAGATCTTCAGCCCACTGCTGAGCATAGGTCTCTTTCCACACAGAGAAGGTCTGAACATTAATCACCACGCTATCTCAAGGCGGATTTGCGATTTCAAACAAAAAGTGTCTAAATAATCTTAAGAAGTACATATAACTCTGAAAAAGTCACATTTGTAGTTGCCAGGTTTTGAAGCCGCACCCTAATACATGAGAAGGGGACGTCTTAATTAACGTCTTGACCACCACCGACCCATTGGTCTGCCTTACAAAACCCCAATTTCTTCAACTCAGAATCTCATTAAAACCTTATATTTTCAGGTCCAATTGTAATGGCGTATCCATGGGGCTACATATCCGACACCCAGGGCCGGAGGAGGAGCCTTCTCATTGCCATGTGGATCAGCTTCGTGGTGTCCACCATCGGCGCCTTCTCTCCTAACTGGGTGGTGATGGCGGTGCTGAAGTTTATCAGTACCAGTCTGTAAGTGACCTGGAAAACCAATTATTGTCTTGGGGTTAGAGCTCCAAAAGAGTATATGGATCATGTGAGGGTATGCATTCGGCGCCCATGAACAACACCTAACACATCTTAGTGTGCGATCCAATCCAATTGTTTTTTTTTTATGTAATAGGTCCGCAAACGAGCAGACGGATTACCTGATGGTAAGCAATCAGCGCCGCCCATGGACACCCGCAACGAAGGAGTTACGAGTGCGTTGTCGACCTTTTAGGGATTAGGGATTTAGAGATTTAGGAACCGGGGGGGGGGGGATTGGGGAAGGGGAAGGATTGGGCCTCTGGTAACCTCACTCACACGGCGAAACACAACTCTGTGGTTGTTTCACGCCGGTTTTCTGTGAGGCCGTGGTATCACTCCGGTCGAGCCGACCCATTCGTGCCGAAGCATGGCTCTCCCACACTTAAAATTCATTTACACATTACATAATCACATTTTATTTCAAATAGGCCACTACAGGCACTTTTGAACGTCAAACAAGTTCAACTTTGTTTGTGTCTCAGTCGTTCTGTCTTCTAGTGAAGCTATTTGCTCGTTCCAAAGTGTAAGTACCTAGTGTATCTATGTAGAAGAACAAGCAAGACACTTCATGGTTAGCATTGTCATAATTATGTTCCTATTTGCACATCTAAGTAATATCTACTCTAGAAGCTAGGCCATTTATATCATTAGTAATAAAAAAATACTGATTGCAAACACATAACTTCGGAATTGAAGTAAGTAAACGCCAACACACGAGAGAGTGTATTATGACTTCATAAGACAATGCACGACACTACTCGTTTTACTGTGTGACTTACTTGAAAACATGTACATACATGCCTATACCTGAAATTAAAGACAGTGATTCGGTCGCCCTCATTACAATTCTTGCAATCGTATATCATCTGACGAATTTTATTGTGGGGACTTTTCGTCGTGGTAATTAGAGACAAAATAGAAGCACATTAAATGCGCGAACGCCTGCGTTCGTTTGAAGCTTAATGAATTAAGGCAGTATATCTACCAAATGGGCTTAATTTTCTTGGTGTTTTCCTGGTTTATGCAGTGACACCTGAGTATGAATAGAAATATTTAGGCAAATATGTCAAATAATCGAAGTAGCCAAGCGCGTAGAGTGACTTTTACTCGGATGCATTAGTTGGATGCGAAAAGATTTTTATGGTCCGAATATTATTAAAGTCTTGCCCCGCAATGAGTAGGATGAGAGGGAGTATAACTGAGTGGATGCGAAGAGCTGAAGATTGAGTTTAATAGCGTGTTATTGGAGAACCATTTGTCCAGCAGTGGATGGTGAAAATGGCAAAGAAGCCAACTATTACTGTTTTTTGATGTTATTTACAGATGTAGCTGTGCCCAATCAGCTTCATACACATTGTTGGGAGAATCCTGCGCTGAGAGAGCCAGAGACGCGTACATGTTGATTATGACCAGCGTTCTAGACTTCAGTTTAGCTGCTTATGTTGGTAAGTTAATATGCTTTTAAGTGTTGACTCAGTTTTAATCGTAAATAATCATTATTAGAGATAGGGATTTATATATTTTGGATTCATTCCCATTTGAGATTTTCTTTAAAAACTTTGCTCCACATTAGGATTTTCTACCTTTGTGTCTTGATACGTTGCCTGACAGAAGGTTGCCCAGTTGACTATGTAGTCGACTACTCGACTTGTTGACTTGTGTCGATGTTAGATGCATCATTACAGAAATTGACTGGTGTACAAATAAACATCCACAGTCATTGCATTAGTGATAAAGTAGGTTTCATTTGGAGATTTTATGGAGTACTTTTTTGTCCCAAATAAATATAAAAGTTTATTACAATTTAAACTTTATTATTTCAGTGGTAGCCTACTTCATCCTAAATCTGGACTTCTCTTACGACATGGGTATGATCACGTTCACCCCCTGGCGTCTCCTGGCACTCGCTCTGGCGCTTCCATTAGGACTTGGCGCGTTTGGGACTCTGTTCTTCTACGAGAGCCCGAAGTTCTTGGTCAACGTGCAGCGGGAGGACGAGGCTGTGGAGAACTTGAGGAAGATCTGGAAAAGGAATAACGGAAGGGGAGACAAGTATCCGGTAAGGTCTTCTTATCTCACTTGTAGTTCTAAAATTCTTGGAGTTTTGTGCTTAGAATGGCTATAGACTTGCTACTTTAATGCAAGAAGTTTTGTAACTTGTGAAAGAAGCAAAAGAAGTATTGACTGTTATTTAAGGAAACATACATAAATGCATCTAGGTGTAAGTAAGTATACATGCATATAAGAGCTATTGGTATATCTTGAGGATTTTGCTAGAACAGAAGAATACTGCCATTGACTTAAGTTTCATGATTATTAATGTGTAATTCTTGATTTCAGGTAAAGAAAATTATCCTGAACGAGATCGGCAACGAGCGCCGCAAGGATGTATCCCTGATGCAGTCTCTCTGGGAGCAGATAGTGCCTTTGTTCAAACCTCCTCTACTCTGGAAGAGCACCATGCTGTACTTCTTTACTGCCGTCATATTTAGCACGTAAGTTTATATTAGTGTCATCAGACAATTTGGATTATTGTTATAAGCCCAGGTATATTGTAAAATCCCTGCACCTCATTAGTTGGCTATGTTACACCGGCCATATCGTTTAACAATTTATAATTATTGAATCCTAATTTTTATTATATTATTTCTTCTACATAAGACTCAAATGAAGTTGTTCAATAAAGGTGCCGTGTACCATGCTTGCATGAACTCTACGATATGAAAGAGCAAAGGCTTCTAACCCAAGCATTGCTTGTCTAAAAGGAGGCTCCAAACATTTAGCATGAGGTTTATGACGCATTTTGTTTTTTGATATTTTTTTATGGGTTTGCTTAAAGTTTAACCGTTTCGTCAGTCAGAGTCACTCGAGCGTATGATTTAAGCACCCAATTTTTAAAGTCCAAACATTTATGAAATAAAAATAAGACCATATTTTTGATCACGTTGAATACCTTAACCTATTATTCTACTACATATAATCTAGCGTGTGAACTGGAATATACGATATCTATGAAGTACAATATTAATGGTCCGTTTCTTCTTAATGGGCTATTATAGATTCATTGGGCACTTATAGGAAGGTGGTAAAACATGCCGTAAATCTTCAAATCAATAGAATAACCTTTTTATATATTCATGTTATCTACATTCCAGCAACAACAGCTACTTCATCTGGTTCCCGTACCTGGCGGAGAAGTTCGCAGCTGGTTTAGGCTCCATGACCCATTCTGATGAGACCGGACTCTGCAATTTGATCATCAGCAATAACAATGTCACTGCTGCTAATGTAAGGTTCCACGAAAACTTTTTTTTTACTTGATAATAAACTAGTGCTTGACTGCGATCCCACCTGATGGTAAGCAGTGATGCAATCATTGATGGTAAGGCGCACTAGTTTATTAAGAGCCTATTCACTCTAGCCTTGAAGATATCTAAATTATATTTGGACGGAAAGACTGCAGCCGGCAAACTGTTCCAATCCCTTGATGTACGCGGTATAAATGATGAGGCAAAACGCTTAGTCCGGGCCGCAGGTGTCTCAACAACGTAAGGGTGGAAATTTGCCGTACGCCGGGATGTCCGAAGGTGAAATGGGGATGGCGGAATCAAATCGTGCAATTCCTGCGCACACTCTCCAAAATGCATCCTGTAGAACACCGCAAGGCTGGCTACTCTACGCCTGTGCTCGAGACTTTGAAGATTGGACCCAACCAAATCAGGATCACCAATCAGCCTCTCATATTTTACAATTAATAACACAGATGAGCAAAGCTTCGGCACTAATGGGTCGGATCTACCGGAGTGATACCACGGCCTCATAGAAAACCCGTGTGAAATAACCACAGAGTTGAGTTTCACCGTGTGAGTGAGGGTACCAGAGGCCCAATCTTGTCCCTCCCCTATTCCTTCCCCTATGACTTATCCTCAAAAGGTTTCGAACCTCCTCTGTTGCAGCCCATGGACACCCCATGGGCTTCGCTGATCGAGATCGGGAGAGGAATAGGGTAGCGATGTTTCACGCCGGTTTTCTTGAAGGAAGTTGTTTTACTCCGGTCGATCCGACTTGGTTTCATGCCGAAGCAGTTTCCACGCTATCAAACATTCCTACATTATTCAGACAGTAATCTAAAAAGATATAAATCGAGTAAGATGCAAATAATGCAATGTTAGATCAATGTCTTCTATTTCGGCAATGACATGTACATACGTCCGCTACTGAAACTAAAATCTAAATTTATCAGGAAAACGTGCCTCTGTAGATAAATATTAGAGTCATACTTTTTATTATAATTATAAGTCTTATATTATATTATTTAGTATTTTAATTGTTCCTTATTTTAACTAGGAAGGTTTGTAAAAAATCTAGACGTTTTATCGTTGCGCCATTTAGACTCTAGATTCTCTCTCTCTCTCTCTCTCTCTCTCTCTCTCTCTCTCTCTCTCTCTCTTTCTTTCTCTCTTTCTCTCTCTCTTCTAAAGAAATACTTTTAATGTAATGACACACACACACACATACTCCTAGATCTACATACATCTAATTTGTAATAAATTTTCTCCACAGAACGAATGTAAATCTACAATGGATATCAGCCTGGTATGGGCCAGTCTAGCACAAGGGGTCACCTTCGTGATCATCATGTTAGTCATCACGAAGCTGGCTTACAGGAAGAAAGCTCTCATGATTATCATCATGACGTTCTCGGGACTGTCTGCTATTGCAGCAGCCCTTGTCAAGGACAACTTGGCCAGTTTTGTCATGTTCTTTGGCCTGCTGACTAATGAGCTGTGTATTGGAATTATTTATACATATTTTGTGGATATGTACCCAACGTCTTATAGGTAAGCGAAAACCTTATACTTAAAAATTAATCTTTGTTAAAATTATTTTACTAGATAGTATTAAACAACGTTGCTTTCTCTGTCCGTATGCATGCTTTAACCTTTAAAACCACGCAACTGATTTTGATGCGATGCGTTTGAGTGATTGGAGAGGAAGGTTTATAAATGTATAATAACATCCATTAAATAATGGAGAAATTTACTATGATCGCTAGTTTAGCTTTTACAAATTTCTAACGACTATTTAGTTTATTTCAATTGTCGTTTATATTCACAATTCTGATTCTGACTAGTTCTCCTAGTTGAATCCCTGGGTAATGACATTGTTTTCAATTTAATTATTAAGGATGAGTTAAGTATCCAGTTTGGTGCATTCGGCTAGTAAACTTATTGTGAGAGAACATATTTTATTTTTAAGGGTAATAAGTGATACTGAAAGAAAGTAGAAAAAAATACGTAACAGTTTGTACTTAATTAAAAACCCCACTAAAAATGTTTAAGGTAAAATTAAAATTGTGAAAGAAAAACGCAGTGACATAATATGTTGCTTAATTTTTTTTTCTGTTTCTGTTAATTGTCTATTCTACAACATTGCGGTAATATTTCTTACAGGGGCATGGCAGCGTGTATCGGTGTGATGGTCGCCCGACTGAGTGCACTTGGCGGGGTCAACGTCCTGGGAGCCTTCATCATGACCCATTGTAACACCATGTTCTATACTTGTGGGGGTCTTATGTTAGGTGGGTATTTAATAAATGTTGTTTGTTAAAACATATGTTGCTTTAGGTCATACCGCACAAAATTTGAAAGTTAGTCTCAAACTAACTTTTGAAGATGTAGGCATTTTATGTGATAGCCAATAGACCACCAGAGTTGGGGCCCTATAGGGCTGATATTCAGCCGGGGTTGCTGGGTAAGCGCAATGAGGCACCGCGACCTCGGCCTAAAGCAGGACAAGGAACTGGGTTTTTAGTCAGTACTTATGAGTCTGACACCATCCCACGGTCACAATTTCATGGGATGCGTTTCGGGCCTAAAATCACTAGCCTCTTTCCGCATAGTAGCGTTGCGGCGTATTTACGTGTAAATTGATCGTTTTCTGTGTCATTTACTTACGCCAAGTTCCAGCGTAGCCGATAAGTTGAACTGGACTCATTTTACAGAAACTCCGCAGCAGCGCTCTCTAATGAAACTAAACCTTTTAAGCTAAGACCTCCAATCTTCAACCCTGACAGACGCCAAGCGAGCAGATTGTGATAACAAAGTTCCAAAGTAACATTTTGGCACTAATTTCTTGTTTTTTTCTTTTTGTTTCAGTGGCTGCTGTATTTTCATGCCTATTACCACCGGATACGCGAAAAACATAGTCGAATATTATATACTTATTACTCTGAGTATTTTTTTATTAGGTATATAAGTTCTTGTATAAATAAATACGATTCCAAAGATTTTAGCCCGATTTTCATTATTTGTATTCTTACATACATAATTTACCAACGTTTTAAAGCGTTATATGTTGGACATGACTATTCATCATCATCATTACCAGCCTATAAGTTCTCAATATTTCTCAAAGGCCTCTTCTCACACGAAGAAGGTTTTTAAGCATTAATCACCACGCTTGCTCAAGACGGATTGGCGATTTCGCAATTTCAAACTTATAATTAGAAATTATAAGTCTGGGTTTCCTCACGACGACCTTTTACCGTGTATCAGTGGTGTCCAAATAATTATAAAATGTGTATATAAATCGGAAGTAACATTGATACTTGCCAGGTTTCGAACCTACGCCCTCACGCATGAGAAGCGGGCACCTTAATCTTCTAGCTACTACGACCACATCCATGTCTATTGGGCTATCGGTAGCATCATATCACTATAAACGCCAATTATCTGCGAGGCCGTCGTATAATTCTGCATACATATACATATATAGCCGGCCTTCTTTTTGTGGGGTACGAGCAGACGGATTACCTGATGGTAATCAATCTTTTCAAAAAACTTTTCAAAAACCAAAGGTTACGAGTTTCGGTTTTGGATATTTAATTAAATTTAAGAACTGGGAAGGGATGGGCTGGGGATTGGGCCTCTGGTAACCTCACTCACACGGCGAATCAAAACGCTGTGGTTGTTTCACGCCGGTTTTCTGTGACGCCGTGGTATCATTCTGGTCGAGCCGACGCATTCATGCCGAAGCTTAGCTCTCCCACACTTAAATGCCTATTCGTGCATTTCTCTTCCACATGTAACACATAGGATATTTAGCACTAAGTCATGATCTTGTCACGTATCATCATGATGTTGTTTCATAAATAATTTAGTTGTAATATCATCTGTGCCATTCTAGTTTTAAGACTGACAACATTATCAGAAATATGATAGAAAACTAGTGAATAGATTATAGACATTTATTTATCTAAATGGACTAAAGATATTGTCTCTCGACGTAGCTAGTTACACCGATATGTCAGTTGAACTTGCCATAGATATCGTTTTTATGTCATGAACAAATCTCAGTTAGTTAAAATAGGCCACCTTGTTCTTTTATGGGTTACTTGCGACCCGCTCCCGCCTTCGAACGGGTGCAATGCTAATATTACTTTAAGTGTGGGAGAGCCATCCTTTGGCATAATCGAGCCGGACCACGGCTTCTTAGAAAACCAGCGTGAAACAACCACAGCGTTGTTTTTCGTCGTGTGGGTGATGTTACCTGAGGCCCGATCCTTCCCCTCCGCAGTCCCTAAATCTCTAAATCCCGATTCCCCACAAGCTGGGTTGGCTTGTTTACCACCAGATAATTAGAGAGCTCGTTTGTCTACCTATCACTTAAAAAAAGTATGTACATCAATTTACATCTTGAAATTTTGCATACAGGTTACATTAGATAAGTAAAACAGTGCAGATGCAGATGGGTTTTAATCAGCCGACATGGAAGTCACTAGAGTCTAGGTTCAGTAGTGTACGTCTTGTCGCTGATACGAATGATGATGACAGTAGTTATAACTAAACCAAAGGACATAGGCTAATTACCTACAGGAAAAGCCGCGAGTAAAATGTAGTCTCTTCTTAGTAAAAAATCCAACAAAATGTAAATAAATAGAAACGTAAAATTGCAACAGTTTTTGTCAAGAAAACGATATCGTAATGTTAAGATAAGCTGACCTTCTACTCAGTACGCGTTGATCAGTCGATCGTAAGACGCTGAATGCGAAACACCTTCCATATACTTAAAAACCTGACTAAATAATACTATTGTTTTAAGTACTGTAATTGAAGAATTGTGTCAAAGTGATTAACTATAATGAAAACAAGAAAAATGGTAGCTAATGTACCGATTGTTCGCACCACTAGGGGATGGTAAATAAGTGGACTGTATGGATTTGATAGGCGCGGTTTATTGCCTTTCCAATTACAAATTTAAAGATATCGCGGACAAACAATTAATTTAAATTATAGCGAATAATTATGTCGACCGTCGTCCGTGATGTCCAAGCGCGAAGAGAAAAAAAAAAGGTCTCTGCCCCTCTCGCTCCGTCGCCCCCTCACCGCACCGCGCTCCGCCGCGCAGCTCGCCACGACGACTCATAAGAAGGTAGGCGGCCGCTATCGCGTCTGCCGAGGGTATGTTGGGTTTGATTCCCAACACCGATAAACTAAATATTTTGTTGTCTACTTATAGTGTTCCAAGTTATTGTTTAAGTTTAAAATTAGATTTATATAAACAAATATGATTACCAGATTAATAGAGAAATTATTTAATTAAAATAACTTACACTAAAAAAGTAGCATAAAAAAAAGATAAAAATAAATATATAAAAATTACGTTTAAAAAATGGCGCCTTCAAAAAATACTTACGCGTTTAATAAGGATAAGGATGACAGTAATATAGAAATGAGTGCTTCTAAGATCAGTAAACTACAATACAGCTATGAAGAGGCCTTGGAAATTACTGGTAAGACACTAATTAACTAACTATGCTTAACATCTATTACTTAACTGTACTGTTTCCCCTACTCAAGTTACGGCAAAAACTTGAAGCAAATTAATTGCAATCTTTATGATTGAAAATTAAAGGTTTTTATTAGTAGCTTCTGCCATCGGATTAACTCATAGTATCAGGACAATAAGAGGCCAATGTGTCTATCCAGACTATAATCTATCTACCCGACCTTGGTCGAGGCTATGGTGCGGAGCGAGAGACTAGGAAACAGTCTCGTCTTTTGGGAAACATTGATTTTTGCAAAGAAGGGGGCGGTTGCGTGAAGGAACTTTCCTCCTCAGGCCGGAGGAAACACTCCGGTCTTTTTTTATGTCGACGACGACGAGTTGACGGATTACCTGATGGTAAGCAATCAGCGCGTCCCATGGGCCCTCGTAATGCCAAAAGAGTTACTACAATTTCATTGCCGGCCTCTTGTTGGTTATTAAGGATTTAAGGATAGGTGATTTGGGGCTTGAGGATACTGACTAGAGAGTACTTTTAACATAACCTCAACAGCCCATGATATTCCATTGGAATGTGATTCCTCTCAACAAAATAGGCGTATACCTCTACCATGTTTACAATACGGACTGACAAACGTAGTTTACAAGGTTTAAATTTGTCAGAAAGTAGTACCTCGCCTCCAGTTTTATAATCTGAACCGCTAAGGAGAGGAATACTGTGTTTCCTGGGGAACCCAGGGTGTCTTCAAGGCCCGAGTGAATAGGTGCTTATGGGTAGATGTGCTCCATAGGTCACATTATCGTTTACCACCAGGCGTGATAGCGGTCAAATGTCTGCCCATTTCAAATTACGAAAGAGCACCTACATTTTCTGCGTATAAAAGTGAATTTAATAAGGTCAATTACACTTTAAAAAAAGAATCGTTTTGACTTAAACTAAGTATAATAAAAAAATACAAGAGTCTGCTAGATAGTTGATAACCTACTTGGCAGGAGCAAATTACTGTTGATGACAACTCCTATTATGTCGTTATTGCATAATAGTAGTTAGGTACCCAATGCAGTGCGAGTTGAATGGTTGACGTACGAAAATAGTCCGACTCATTCTCAGGACCCATTTTATTTACGTCAAAGCTGCAAGAATTATTTAGTCCCAGTTACGAATTTTCTACAATTTAGGTTACAGTCAGTCTAAATATGGAAAGAGCTTAATATGGGAGCCAGGGTTATGGATCATCAATGACGATATAACCACGTTATATCCTCTTTGCGGATCATGTACCGCGGGGTAAGAGTCCTCCCTCAGAATACAAGTCCTCCTAATGGAGTTTCTTGCTCGTTCTTCTCCATTCGAATCTACAATTTGGAATGAGCACCTAGCTTCACTGACGAACAGACTGACAGACTACTTTTCTATTTTGACGTTTCAAAAGTACCTATATATCTATTTATAGTTTAGTTGGAATAAATGATTTTGACTTTGACTTTGACTTTAGTCGGGGCGGGAGAAATAATTAGATGATTTTTACCTTAAAAAAAAAATACATTAGAAATTAAATTGGAAAACTATTTGGCTTATTGGTTTCTACTTTTGCATGTTAATTATTATTTTTATTAATTTTAATATTATGTTCTTTAATAAATTCAATTTTATTTGTAAATAATCCATAACATTGTTTATGTATAGATTTAAGTTTAAATGTATAGTTACATATATTTAATATTATTATCATTAAAATATGTATCTGTATTATGCAAAAACACAACACACGAAATATATAACGACTACTTTTTATTATAATTCTATTATATTATGCACATAAGTTTTATTAAATCTGTATTTGAAATATATAGTTTTACAATTTGACATTTAAAAAGCCATATAAAATGTGTGAAAATGAATTCTGAATTATAAATTTTTGCACGTGACAACACAAACGTGAGTTCCAAACTTGAAAACTGGTTTTCGTTTTAGAACGATGTTAGCCGAATATTTTTGCTAAAAGACCTAGGGAATGCCTTTTATCTTTATATGTCGAAAACACCTCAAAAATGACCTTGAAATGAATTAATTTTAATAAACTCGTGTTGATAATAACATAATTATCTAGTATAATGTTTTCATTAGTAAAGATGCTCTATTTCATTACTAGCCTATAGTGCCCACTGCTGAGCAAAGGCCTATTCTTAAACGAAGGTTTACCCGCTTTCACCATTTTTTCTCAAGGTGGATTTTGATTTTAATCGTCAATGCAATTAGAAATTTTTGGTCCAAGTTTCTTCATGATGTTTTCGCTTAACGAACGTAAGTAGTTTACCTTCTGGATTTCAAACCTGCATCCTCATGTTAGAGAAATCCCTAATAATGCTGATTCCAATTCCTTAAGGTCCCGCACCAAGCCGAGCACGAGACGCCTGATTGCTCGTCTGAGGGCGGTGCTCAATCTACCCTGCTTAGACAATAAAACACTATAAAAAATTGCTCGCTCCACAATGTCCTTCGGTTGTTCGTCCCTATAACGACATCCGGGTATTTCCTCTCGCTTCTAAATCACCTAAATCCTTAAAGATTGACACAATTATAAATTAGGTACTATACATATATATATATATTATATGATATGATGAATATATTTAACCTACCTATACCTACAAAATAATAAATATACCTACATAACCTACACAGATGCACACATGCTTACCGTCTACGAATGCGTATTTACAAATTGAATGTCAGTAGGTATGATGTTTCGAGTGCATTGACCTCTAATGACTTGTGCAATATGCAGGCTTTAGTATCGATAAAGCAGCATTGATTAAGTATATTTACAAGTATAGTGTGTTAATATGTCGGTGATTTGAGCTGTATCCAGTTTTGTGATGAACGGGATACAGGTTTGAACCTTAAAATAAGGAAACATAAAATATAAAATCGAAGTGCAAACAGGTTTTATTAGTGATTACCTGATTACAGTCACAAAAAGAAAATCTACGTTCATATACGTTATTTAAACACGAGCAACGCTTAAAAAATGCATATATCTCGATAGGAATGAGCCATAACAGCTAGGAGTTCTACCGAACGAGGATGTGGAAGAGCCATGCTTCGGCACAAATGGCTCGTCTCGACCGGAGTGATAGGTACCACGGCCTCACAGAAAACTAACATTTCGCCGTGATAACCAAACTCTAAGCCAAAAACGACTGGCCACGCATTCGTAAGTCCTTTGGTGCTGCGGCAATGCCGATTGCTCAGATTATCTCAAAACGCTTACATACCGCTCTTGTCATACGCTAGATTGGCTACTATTCAGGATAAAAATCTAGATTAAATTGAATCGAGATCAAGAGATGTGTTTATACAGCATCCACTTGAAACTTGTGACTGATAGCGGACTGATATACTGAGGTCAAACTATCGTGCTTAGATAACGAGAATATGAAACAATTATTATTAGTTATAATATTTTGTATTTGTATAAACTAACATCTTAACATATAGATCTTATTGAAAGCAATAGTATGAATAGATTTTCTTTTTGGTGAGAGGAAAATCATCACATCCCGCCCAGGCTCGGGCAAAAGGGAGTGTGGGAACAGGGGGGGTTAGTCATTAAGTGTATGAATCTCCCTCTCGCCTCACCCATGGGACGTCACTTGATGAATATTGCGTGATTTTCTTTTGAGTTAACTGAGTTTCAATAGAATTCATAAGCACGGAAGGAAAAAAAAGTACCTATAAACATCTCATAAAAGAAAATAGCCTGTAAGGTCAAAACAGTAACTTTAATAAATAATCAAGGTTTGATTACCTTCATATTTCCTTCAATGTAACATTCAGTAGGTATTTTATATATTTTATGGATTATCAATCGAAACAAACGAAAAGAATATTGGCACATATATATAATTTGGATAATTTTAGACTAAATTGTAACATATCCTTATTGTAAATGCTAATTCATTTCTTCACATAGATTATGTGCCTTATATGCAACCTTATATGTATGTAAATAAGTGTTATGAAAGCGAGGATCTGCGGTCACCGTAAGCGCCAATCTGCGGTAGGCGAGCAAGGCTAGCTCGCCACCCGACGAGAACCAGACCTGAGCATGCGTTTGTAGCATTCTGCGTGGGCACCAAAGAGGCAATAGATCGCCGATTCGATAAATTTTCCTCAAATCCTAAAAACCATCTCGATCCTTCGCCTGCTCAAGGCTGAGGCCGCGGTACCTTATTGCGTTTGAACTCGCTTACCCGGCTGAACCTCGGATATACATAGGCGCCGGCTGTGGCGATCTATTGGCTCTTTGGGGCCAACGCAGAACGCTTCGTACCGCACGCTCAGGTCTGGGTCTCGGGTGGCGAGCCAGCCTTTGTCACTACCGCAGATTGACTTAAGGTGGCCGCAGATCGTCGCTTTCATAACACTTTAGTCAGTAAGAGACTGACACTCCCTCTTGCTTCACCCTGGATGAGAGAAACTATTTGATGATATTTATTCCCCTCACAAAAAAAGCAGGTTGCACCTACCTTTATCCACAAACGAAAATATCCTAATTTATAGCAAATATTTAAACAATTGACTAGCATACTACCGTACAAATCACAAATGTCAGAACTGTATGTAAATGACCCCACAATTACTAATTCTTTTAAGCGATTTTCAACCTTATATCTTAGATATTAAACTAATAATTTTTGCCAGGTTGCTATAATTGACGAACTGGCTTCTGTTCACGTGTTACACGTGTCTAAATATCGCAATATTTACGCACATAAATCAATAAATACATAGATGTATAATAAGTCATACAAATTGTATGAAATAAGTGCGAAAATAGAAACAAATACAATTTTGACATCTTCTTACGTGAGGTCAAAAAATGATCTGGGACTGCATGAACATTTTTTTTTACTTATTAATCGTAGCTTACTTTTATTTTCATAACGAAACTACTAGTTTATTGTGCGAAGCTTCATAACAAAACTGAAGCAAAATATTAG